CCGTATCCGATTCAACGACCTATACGGTTTTCCGCGTTGTCGACCTAGCGATTTGCTAATTGTTACGCTACAGCGGACGCCGAGAATCGCGCGAAAGCTCCCAGACGCACGAACTTCCATAACATTGGAACGTCTACCCGCTATCTTACACCAGGTGATTGTGGCGTCGATGGCTGAGGTGTCGATGGCGCAGACGACGATGCCGATGATTTATCTGTCTCGTCCCCAGAATCTGTTCAGTTCAGCGCCGCGCGACAAGGGGTGGGCGGCTGTCTGGGCGGCGGCAAGCTAGTCGCTAAACGCAAACTACTTATCCAGCCGGGCGGACGGACACGTGCTGCGCATTAGCGAAAGAAAGCGGCTTAGAAGCCTATAAGCGAACAACCCTCGTCAAACAATAAACTGAGGGATTCTGTTTTCGGTGATTGCATGGCGAGCGCTACTCCAATGCTGGCGCTAGATATCTGGCGCGGACGCAAGGGCTTCAAAAATCCGACGACCCCTCCGCAGCATTGAAGAACGCAGTTTCTAACAAGTGCCCGAGAAGATCGATCGTCGTGATTTCCACGTGCGTTTCTGTTTATTTTTGACGAGGCTTGGCCGCTTTACAAATCAGTGTTGACCCCAAACAGTAGGTTCTTGTATCATCTTAGCACCATCTGCGCGGCGCAATGCACATCGCGCTAAACTGCCGCGCGCGGCACCCAAGAAACTCGAGCATGGCTGCCGCGGAAGACGCGCGGGGCCGGCGGCGGCGGCGCGGCCGACGGCGGGGGGCAGGCACCGATCTTCTTGGTCCTATCAGGGAGATATACTTCTGGACCCCCCCGCGGCAACCTGGCAGCCGCCCCTGGACCCCCCCGCGGCAACCTGGGGGCCGCCCACTCGGCATGCGCTTTGATGCAGCGCGGCGAACACCGCAGTCACTTCGACGTATTATTTGTACAACAACTACCCACCCTTGCCCACCAGAGTGTATTTTTTGCAAGGGATTATGGCCGGGTAGTTGTTGGTATTAACCAACAACTACCCGGCCGCCGCCCACTCGGATTGTATTTTGATATAGTACGGCGGTCACCGACGTCACTTCGACATATTATTTGTACAACAACTACCCACCCATGTCCACCGGAATGTATTTTTTGGCACGGATTATTGCCGGGTACTTGGGTAGTTGCATTTTTCTAAAAGAATAAGAAGGCCCCCCTTTTCCTTTCTTTTAAAAATCTGCAACTACCCAAGTACCCGGCAATCATACGTGACAAAAAATACACTCCGGTGGACATGGGTGGGTAGTTGTTGTACAAATAATACGTCGAAGTGACGTCGGTGACCGCCGTACTATATAAAAATGCAATCCGAGTGGGCGGCGGCCGGGTAGTTGTTGGTTAATGCCAACAACTACCCGGCCATAATCCCTTGCAAAAAATACACCCTGGTGGGCAAGGGTGGGTAGTTGTTGCACAAATAATAAGTCGAAGTGACTGCGGTGTTCGCCGCGCTAAATCAAAGCGCATGCCGAGTGGGCGGCGGCGGGGCAGTTGGACAAATGCCCGGCATCATCCTTTGCAACGACCCTCCTTTGGGCGGCGGCGGCGCGAAAGCTCCCAGCCGCGCAAATTTCCATAACATTGGAACGTCTACCTGTGATTTTGCACCGCCCCTTCTCCCTAGCTGCGCCGGTTCCGACACAACGACCTAAACGCGTCTCCCGTGTTGTTGACCTGGCGATTTGCTAATGTTACGCTACCGCGGACGCCGAGAATCGCGCGAAAGCTCCCAGACGCAAAAATTTCCATCAAATTGGAACGTCTACCCGTGATTTTGCACGAACTCCTTCACCCTAGCTGTGCCGCATCCGACTCAACGGCCTAAACGGTCTTCCGTGTTGTCGACCTAGCGATTTGCTAACTGTTACGCCACCGCGGACGCCGAGAATCGCGCGAAAGCTCCCAGACGCACAAACTTCCATAACATTGGAACGTCTACCCGTGATCTTACACTAGGTGACTGTGGTGTCGATGGCTGAGGTGTCGATGGCGCAGACGACGGCGCCGATGATTTATTTGTCTCGCCCCCCCGAATCTGTTCAGTTCAGCGCCGCGCGACAAGGGGTGGGCGGCTGTCTGGGCGGCGGCAAGCTAGTCGCTAAACGCGAACTCGTTCTCCAGCCGAGCGGACGGACACGCGCTGCGCATTAGCAAAAGAAAGCGGCTTAGAAGCCTATAAGCGAACAACCCTCGTCAAAAATAAACTGAGGGATTCTGTTTTCGGTGATTGCATGGCGAGCGCTACTCCAATGCTGGCGCTAGATATCTGGCGCGGACGCAAGGGCTTCAAAAATCCGACGACCCCTCCGCAGCATTGAAGAACGCAGATTCTAAAAAGTGCCCGAGAAGATCGATCGTCGTGATTTCCACGTGCGTTTCTGTTTATTTTTGACGAGGCTTGTAGTATATATATATATATACATATACATATACATAGACATCTGTATATATGCATACGTGTTTCTCTCTCTCTCTCTCGCTTTATTTGTTTCTCTCTCTCTCTCTCTCTCTCTCTCTCTCGTTTTTTTCGATATCTATGCCCATATCCGGATTTGTCAAGACAGTGCTTACTTTCAGGGTTCTTATTTCTGTCCTGAGGAACTGATCTGGCGGCTCTGCGCTCGCCGTCGCCGCCCCGTCGCCGCCTCGTCGCCGCCCGTCGTCTGGGCCTGGGTGTCGGTCTGGCGGTTCCATGCTCGCCGTCGCCGCCTCGTCGCCGCCCCGTCGCAGCCCCGTCGCCGCCTAGATTGTACAATCTGCGCCGCCTAGATTGTACAACGTACATTGCGCCACATAGACGCACAACATGGATTGCACCACATATATTCACAGCATAGATTGCGCCACGTCGACTGCACCACATATATTGTACCACGTATATTGAACAAGAAATTGCGCCACGCTGGTCATCACGTCGATTGCGCCACAAAGATCCACAGCACAGATTGCACCACATATTCTGCACCACGTCGTATTTTGGCTCCACAAAGATAGCACCATATATATAGTTTCTGCATCTGTATAGATAATTTCAATATCTCTGTATATTTATACCGCGCAATATACATTGTACCGCGCACACACATATACTTACATATGCATAGATTGCACCACGTCGATTGCATCGCATATATGAGGCCACATCTATTGCATCACATAGACTGCACCACATAGGTTGCACCACGTCGATTGCACAACCTAGATTTCGCACCACATACAAGCACTACGTAGCTTGTACCCCGTATTTTGCACATAATACATTGCACAAATCTGTTGCACCAGAGATATAGTACCACAAAGCTTCACCACATGTACTGCTCCACAAAAGATTGCACAGCATACGCAGATGTATATATACATCTATAGATATAGATCTAGACCCATAGCTTAGATGTGTATGTATTGTGTACATTTTGCACAGCATTTATTCCGCAACGCATGTTGCACAGCATCGATTGCACCACGTAGAGTGCACCACACATGTTGTTCTACTTAGACTGCAGAACATATGCTGCTACAAGCGCGCTGTTTGGGGTGCACGCTGGCTAAACTATTAGTTGTGGTTGCAATTTATATGTATGTATGCATCTGCATGTACGTGTACATACATGCAAACCTACATGTATGTATGCATGCATTCATGCATGCATGTATGTATGTGTTTTTCGACATAATATGTGTATATCTGCATGCGTATCCCGCTCTCGCTCTCTCTCTCTCTCACTCTCTATGTATAAGTATTCCTTTCTCTTTCTCCTTCTCCGCTCCCTCTGTCTCCCACCCTCTTTCTATTCTTCCGCCTGCTTCTCCGCCTCCTCCTTCCTCCACCTCCCTCCTGCCCCCTTCGACTCCTCCCCCCCTGGGGCCTCCTTCTCTTCCTGATCTTTTTGCTCCCGCCTCCCCTCCGCCTCCGCCTCCTCCGCCTCCTCCTCCTCCGCCTCCTCCTCCGCCTCCTCCCGTCCCTCTCCTCCCCCCCCTCCCCCATCGCGGCCTTCGCCCGTTGCTGGGCGTCGCCGCCGCCGCCGCCGCCGTGGTTGCCGCCCTCGTCGCAGTCCTCCTCGTCGCAGTCCTCCTCGTCGCAGTCCTCCTCGTCGCAGCCCTCCTCGTCGCAGCCCTCCTCGTCTCAGCCCTCCTCGTCGCAGCCCTCCTCGTCCTCGCCGTCCTCCTCCGCGCGCGCCTTGCCCCACCCCCCCCGCCGCCCGCAGAGGCCGAGGACTGGGGCGAGGAGCGGCGGGAGGAGCTGAAGGCGCGGAAGTTCATAACCGGCGGCTGGAGTAGCGCCGAGGAGGACGAGGACGCGGGGCGTCGAGGGGCAGGGAGGGGCCGCCTACGAGGAGGAGGAGGAGGAGGAGGAGGAGGAGGAGGAGGAGGAGGAGGAGGAGGAGGAGGAGGAGGAGGAGGAGGAGGAGGGGGAGGAGGAGGAGGAGGAGGAGGAGGAGGAGGGGGAGGAGGAGGAGGAGGAGGAGGAGGAGGAGAGGAGGAGGAGGGAGGAGGAGGAGGAGGAGGGGGGAGGGGGAGGGGGGGAGGAGGAGGAGGATTTAGGGTCGATGCAGCCCCAAGTGTGCCTTCCCCCCCCCCAGCGTTGTCCCTGATCCTCCTCCTTCGAGCGCCCAGCTGCGGGCCTCTGGGTGCGGCCGCCGCCGCCTCCTTTCTTTTGACGCTGAACGGACTTTCACCCTAAGATTGTAGCATCCGGCCGCCGCCTCATCCTCCTCCCCCTCCCCCTCCCCCTCCCCCTCTCCCTCCCCCTCCTCCTCCTCCTCATTCTCCTCCTCTTCGTCCTCCTCCTCCTCCTCCTTCTCCTCCTCCCTCCTCTCGGCCTTCCTTCTTCCTTCTTCTCCACAGGCGCTGACCTGGCCCTTCGGCTTTCTGCTCTTTGTCCTTCCCTGCTCTTAGAGCGGACTCTTGGCATTTGCGTGCGCCCGTGCACCCGAGTGGCAGGGAAGGGCCGCTCACGGTTCGATTCGTCGGCTGGGTGTACGATTCGGGTTCGATTCGATCCGGTTCGATTCTTTGGCGTCGGCTGGGGCCAGGGAGTGCCAGGAAGGGTGATCTGGTTTCGGGTTCGACTTGATTCGAAACGATCCGCTGGCGATCCGATCCGTTTCCGACTCGATCTGAACTTACGTTTCGGTTCAGCTCAGTCTTGCAAGGGTTTGGCGTTCGTCGAGGATAAGATGGAAGGCTGCATGCTAGAGGAGGAGGAGGAGGAGGAGGAGGAGGAAGATGACGAGGAGCAGGAGGAGGAGGAGCGAGGAGCGAGGAGAAGCGAGGAGAAGCGAGGAGAAGCGAGGAGGAGCGAGGAGGAGGAGCAGGAGGAGGAGGAGGAGGAGGAGGAGGAGGAGGAGGAGGAGGAGGAGGGGGAGGAGGAGGGGGAGGAGGCGGGGGAGGAGGAGGGCGATCAGCCAGAATAAGCTAGGATAAAGCAGGGAGGCGCGGCGCCGTCCGAAGTCCTCACCATGACGAAACGTTCGTCCAATATGCCTTCGCTAATTGCGCAACAACGCGGAATAGTTCGGAGTAGAAGTATTCCTATTCCGCGCGTGGGCGCATCCCGCTCGATAACTCGTATGATTTCGAGCGGTGTAGTTTCCAAGCCACGTGTGGGGCAGCAGAGTTATAAGCATTAAGCAGATCGAAAACTACTCCGCCGAATGACGCAGTCACCATGTCATGCTATGAACCTTGAGAGGAATCGGAGATATCATCATCATGGCACATTGAAGAAACTGCTGTCCCAGCTGTGTAGTCATACGTTCTTGCAAGTTTCCCTTTTCACTAGAAGATGCGCCCCCTTGAGCCACCATTGCAGTTGGGCCTGCCATTTTGGCGAGGGCCCCGCTGTGAAGTCGAAGTGTTTTGCATATCGTAGGCGCGCACTCAGGAACGTGAAACGCTAGAATCAGACAGCTCAACCATGAGTCTAGCGAAATCCCATTTCGGAAGAAACTGATCGGTCCCCCCCCCCCCCGTCCGTGCAACGGTTATAGACGTTACTTCTAGTGGTCACGAAATTCAAGGGAGTTTGAAGCGACAGTACTACATGTGTTGAAGTTTCGGGTCTTCAAAATTAGCTAGGACTCCAGCGACACGGTTTTCTTGGAGAGTTGTTGTCTATCCTAATGGCCGTTGCAGTCAGCAGCGGATGCGTGCAGCGAAGAGGCGAACGCCCACTTCGAAAAGGGCCAAAGCTCACTCCTTGAAGCTGCAGCATGGATTTGTGACGAGTGCGCGCGGCGCCCAGGCGAAGCTACTGCGAAGCTACTGCATCCGCGAAGCTACTGGAGGACGCGGACAGGGTGTGCGCGACGCTCACGCGAGAACCACATGTTTTGAAAGCCACCCGCCCTCAGTCAATGAAGCTGCTGCAGACTTTTGAGACGCATGTTGCGCGACACTCGGGCGAGAGCCACATGCTGAAGACGGCCCCCTTCTCGTCCGTGAATCTGCTTCAGATCTTTCAGACTCAATTTGCGCGGCGCCCGCTGAAAACCAGCCGCCCTCCACCCGTGAAGCTGTTGCAAGAGTTTCAGACGAGTGCGCGCGGCGCTGAGGCGAGAGCCACATGTTGAAAGCAACCGCCCTCCGTCCGTGAAGCTGCTTCGAACTTTGAAGACTAAGGTGCGCGGCGCTCAGGCGAGAGCCACATTCTGAAAACGACCCTCCCTTTCCGTCCGTGAAGCTGCTGGAATGGTCAAGCTTCTCGATCATGAATGGTGATGAAGTCTTAGGCGAAACGCCCGGTACGCACTACCGACACAGCTTTTCATAATGAAAATCGATGGATGAGAAGGAGGAGGAGGACGAGGAGGAGGAGGAGGGGGTCAGTGGGAAGGGAAGGGAGAGGAACAGGGGGAAGCAAGAGAAGACCAAGGATCTCTCAAGCTGTGATTGCGTTGTTTTTAGTTGTTCCTGGCTTTATCGCAAATCTATATGTGATTCGATCGGTTCGATATGTGTTGTTGGCGCGCGTCGCCGATCCTATCGATCACGCGCCTCCAGAGGAGCTCCCTCCGCAGCCGGGATTAGATTCGATCGATCCGATTATGCAGCGAGTCGATCGTTGGGCAGGATAGCCTCTGGAGAGCAATCCGTGTGAACGCGGAGGAGGAGGAGGAGGAGGAGGAGGAGGAGGAGGGAGGAGGAGAAGGAAGCATACGGAGAATGGCGAAGGAATCTGGGGCGAGGACGGGGGACAAAAAGAGGCAGCAACGATTTTGAACAGCAAAGGGATGGTGATTATGCTACTGCGGATGCGGAGGAGGAAGTGGAAAAGGGTGGAGAGGAGGAGGTGGAGGAGGGAGGGCGGGACAGGAGGAAGGTGGGACGAGGGAGGAGAGAGGATGGTCGAAGAGGGAGGGGGGATGGGGAGGAAAAGGAGGAGGAGGAGGTGGAAGAGGATCGGAGTAAGTCAAATATGCATAAGCGATGCAGCAATACACCCTCCCGTCGCACGTCCCCTCATGCGCCCCTGCAAATCTTCCTTTTCACTGCAAGAAGCCCTTGAAAGACCACCAAAGTCGGGTTTGTAATTTTGGCGAGGGCCCCACTTTGAAAAAGAACTTCTTCTCATGGTTCTGACGCGTAGTCAGACACGCGAAAAGCAATGATCATGTAGTTCAGCGATTTTTCCAGGGATGCCCCTCCTGCGAAGAAGGACCGCCCCCAATGCGTGTGACCGTTTCACAAGTGTACCCGTGTGGTCACGAGCTTTGAAGAGGGTTCACGCCCATTGTGAAAAAGAGACGCCATGGATCCGTGGCGAATTCTCGGACAGGAGTCCCAATTGAAAAGGAGTAGTCCTCCGTCCTGCTAAACGATGCGTCGTAAAAAGATGAGTGCGCGCAACGCTGATGCGAGAGCCTCATTCTGAAAGGGAGCAGCCCTCCATCCGTCAAGTTGCTGAAAGCTTTTGAGACGAGTGTGCGCGGCGCTTAGGTTAGAGCTTCATGTTTAAAACTACCCCCTCCACCCGAAATTTGTTTTCAAACATAGTGCGCGGCGCCCAGTCGAGAGCCCCATTGAGAACGACTCCCCTCCATCCGGGAAGCGGCTGCAACTCTGAAACGTGCGCGATGGCGATGCGGGAGCCACATGTTGGAAAACACCTGCTCTCCATCCGTGAAACTGCTGCAAGCTTATAGCACGAATGTGCGTGGCTCTCAGACGCAAGCCATATCTCGAAAACTACCCCCCCTCAACCCGTGAAGCTGCTCCAAGCTTTTTTACCTAACAGCGAAGACTGATAGGTTTCTAATGGGGTCAAAAGAGATCATCTGATGACTCCCCAGGGGGGTCTGGGCGGGAGCCGGACAGGCGAGGGCCGGGCTCGTTTTAAGCAAACAGTCACACACTTTGTGCTCTTCGACCTCCCAACACTCCATTCCCATGCCCGGAGTCAACTGTAGGCCACTTCGTGCTCTTCGACTTCCCAGAACTCCATTCCCGGGCCACATTTGGGATGCCCGGAGCCAACTGTAGGCCACTTCGTGTTCTTCGTGTTCCCAGAACACCATTCCCGGGCCACATTTTGAATGCCCGGAGCCAACTGTAGGCCACTTCGTGTTCTTCGTGTTCCCAGAACACAATTCACAGGCTACATTTTGATTGCCTGGAGCCAACTGTGAGGCTGAGGCTGAGGCAGGCTGAGGCTGAGGCAGGCTGAGACTGAGCCTGAGGCAGGCTGAGGCTGAGGCTGAAGCTGATGCAGGCTGAGGCTGAGAGGCTGACGCTGAGGCTGAGGCAGGCTGAATCTAAGGCTGAGGCTGAGGCAGGCTGAGGCTGAGGCTGAGGCTGAGGCTGAGGCAAGCCGAGGCAGGCTGAGGCTGAGGCTGAAGCTGAGGCAGGCTGAGGCTGAGGCTGAGAGGCTGCGGCTGAGGCTGAGGCAAGCTGCGGCTGAGGCAGGCTGAGGCTGAGGCTGATGCAGGCTGAGGCTGAGAGGCTGCGGCTGAGGCTGAGGCAGGCTGAGGCTGAGGCTGAGGCTGTGGCTGAGGCTAAGGCAAGTTGCGGCTGAGGCTGAGGCTGAGGCCGAGGCAGGCTGAGGCTGAGGCTGATGCAGGCTGAGGCTGAGAGGCTGACGCTGAGGCTGAGGCTGAGGCAGGCTGAGGCTGAGGCTGAGGCTGTGGCTGAGGCTAAGGCAAGTTGCGGCTGAGGCTGAGGCTGAGGCCGAGGCAGGCTGAGGCTGAGGCAGAGGCAAGCCCAGGCAGGCTGAGGCTGAGGCTGAAGCTGAGGCAGGCTGAGGCTGAGGCTGAGGCTGTGGCTGAGGCTGAGGCAAGCTGCGGCTGAGGCAGGCTGAGGCTGAGGCTGATGCAGGCTGAGGCTGAGGCTGAGGCTGAGGCAGGCTGAGGCTGAGGCTGAGGCTGAGGCTGAGGCTGAGGCTGAGGCAAGCCGAGAGGCTGAGGCTGAGGTTGAAGCTGAGGCTGAGGCTGAGGCTGAGGAGGCTGAGGCTGAGGCTGAGGCCGAGGCAGGCTGAGGCTGAGGCCGAGGCAAGCCCAGGCAGGCTGAGGCTGAGGCTGAAGCTGAGGCAGGCTGAGGCTGTGGCTGAGGCTGAGGCTGAGGCTGAGGCAAGCTGCGGCTGAGGCAGGCTGAGGCTGCGGCTGATGCAGGCTGAGGCTGAGGCAGGCTGAGAGTGAGGCTGAGGCTGAGGCTGAGGCTGAGGCTGAGGCTGAGGCAGGCTGAGGCTGAGGCTGAGGCAAGCCGAGGCAGGTTGAGGCTGAGGCTGAAGCTGAGGCAGGCTGAGGCTGAGGCTGCGGCTGAGGCTGAGGCAAGCTGCGGCTGAGGCAGGCTGAGGCTGAGGCTGATGCAGGCTGAGGCTGTGGCTGAGGCTGAGGCTGAGGCTGAGGCAGGCTGAGGCTGAGGCTGAGGCCGAGGCAGGCTGAGGCTGAGGCCGAGGCAAGCCGAGGCAGGCTGAGCTGCGACTGCGAGAACAGCAGAATTCTACAACTGGATTCTCACCGAAATCTTAAGGGGAATGCTTCCACATATGCTTCTACACATCGCTGTTAGGTTGCTTTGCCGGGCGAATTTACAACGATAGTGCGCGGCGCTCAGACGAGAACCACATTTTGAAAAACACCCGCCCTACATCCGAGAAATTGTCTTCGATAGTGCGCGGCGTTCAGGCGAGAGCAACATTGAAAATTACCCCCCCTTCCCACCGTGAAACTGTTTCAAACAGTTCGGACGAACATGCGTTGCCTTCAGGCGAGAGCCACGTTTGAAAGCGACCTCCCTTCCATCTGTGACATTGCTTCAAACTTTAGGACGAATGTGCGCGACGCTTAGGCGAGAGCCGCATTTTGAAAACGACCTCCTTCCACACGCGAGGCTATTGCAAATTTCCAAGTTCACGACCGGAAGCTGTGAGGAAGTCTCAGGCGAACCGCCGGGCCTGCCTTACCGACACGCCTGGGGGCGCGGCAGGGAGGCGCTGCTTACAAGGAAAAGGTGTGGACGGGGAGGAGGGGGAGGAGGAAGAGGAGGAGGAGGAGGAGGAGGAGGAGGAGGAGGAGGAGGAGGAGGAGGAGGAGGAGGGGAGGGGAGGAGGAGGGGGAGGAGGAAGCGCAGAAGGAGGGAGCCCAGTTCGCGCCTCGGTACCCTGCCCTTCTCCCAGGACGCCGAGCCGAAGCCGGCCGCCGACGGCGCCGAAGGAGGGGAGGCCGGCGAGCAGGGGGAGGAGGACCCCCGCTCGCTGTTCGCCGATGGACGGACGGCCAGGGGTCGCAGAGCGGGGGTTTCGGGGCTCAAGGGGTCTCCTCCTCCTCCTCCTCCTCCTCCTCCTCCTCTTTCTTGTGCGCAGCATTGGAGGCGGACACGACGTGCTCCGCCCCACCACGTGGGCCGCAGACTCGGGGTGGTGACTCACCAGCACCCCTCGAGACCGCGGCCGTCCTCGTAGCCACCGACGGTGGCACCTGGCCTCAAACACGGAAGGGAGGGAAAACAAAGGCAAGAGACAGTGCGAGACGGCCTGAGTCAGTACAGACATCGCAAGCACAACGAATACTCGAGACCGAGAGGCGGGCACAATTGGATGTCAAGCTGTGGGAGAATATTGGATAGCACTGCAATCAGCAGTGCACGCCTCAAACAAGACGCTGGAGATCTGAAATGTGAAACGTATACTTCTCAATATTCAGCTTGCCTCCTGAGAGCCTGTTCCCTAAAACCCCTACCCCACTCAGGAGCCACAGGGGCACGGAGACAAGAGACCCCTGGCAAGCCTCTGGGAGCCAAAGGATCCACAGACACTGCAACAGACATACCAAGTGGGGCTAGGCAGATTCGGAGCCACGAAAGTGTACAACTGATGGGGCTTGAGTCCCCTGACAACATGCAGCTGATTGGTGGCCAGGGCACGCTCAAGCGATGTGGGCGGCTGGGCTTTGACGAGCTCAAAAGGGGGAGGGACCCCGGGGTCTCGAACACGCCGTGCACGGTGTACACAGTCCCGCGGTCCGCGGCCTGATCAGAGCCGTGGACGCGTCTCCCGTCGCCGTGCTCCCCACTCCTTCCCCCTCCCACGGCCTCCGACGGCTCGACGTCCGCGCAAGGCGCGGGTTCTGACCTGGTCCCGATGTCGCAGGCGAGAGGCCATGAGTTGTTTGTCGCGGGAGATCACTTCGTCTGTTGTCGGTGTGGGTTTTGCGCCGAGGGTGGAGGAGGATCGCAGTTTTTTCAGTTTTGTGATCCCGAGCTCCTGGAGCGGACTCCCTCCAGGAGGTGCAAGCGGGTATGGTTTTCGAGAAACTCCCGCACCCGAATGTGCCCAGCAGACTGGCCATTCTGAACCCTCTTCCCTTGAGGATCTCCGATGATGCGGCCAGCGGAATGGGGCTTACATAGCCGCCCCTCGTTTTTCGTCTCGAGCTGCTGCTCGTGCCTTCGGCCCCGATGCTGATCGTGAAGGGTGCCTCACTTGTGCCGCCCTGGACCGCAAGCCCGTCGCCCAAGGCTGTTGATATGGGGCTGTGAGTCTCGCCTTTTCCCGCTGCTCTCGTGCGTCGGGTTCCCGAACAACTCGGCGCGCTCTCTTATCTGGGTCTCTCCCTCCTCCTCCTCCTCCTCCTCCTCCTTCTCCTCCTCCCCTTGCCCCATTTCACTCGTTGGTGGGCACAGAGCTCAAGGGACCGGGGGTCCAATCAAACGGGGGTCAGCCAGGGCGCCAGATCTTGCAGGATTGTGCAGAGCCATGGCTGCATGGGCCCAGGCATGCGCGCAGGATCTTGCAGGATGCTGCAGGATCACGCAGGATCCTGCAAAGCCTGACTGGCCCGGGTTTGCATTGACCCCCGAGTTATCCGGAGGTTCAAGGGCAACATTACGAGGGATTGGGTTCCGGGGGGGAGTTTCGAGGTTCGAGGTTTTCGGACGTTTTCGTCGCTTCCCGACCGCTTTCCAGCCTCGCGGTGCGTTCTGGCAGCTGCGCCTCGCCGAGAGCGTTCGGGGGGTGCCCGGATCGTCCCGAACGGCCGCCAGAATGCCAAGTTTTGGCCCGAAAACTACTGGGGGGAAAGTTACGGGGGGATCGGGCTCAAGAGGGGATGCATCGACCCTCAATCGCCCATTCCTCCTCGACGGGGGCTTGATGGGCCGCCCCGCCCACGAACGTGCGCTTTGGCAATCGGGGGCCTATCGCCGATCCATCGGCGACGTATCGCCGATTCGAGGTTGATGTTCCCCCCGTATTGTTCCCCTTCCAAGGTGGGGTCGGGGAGCCAGCCCAGCTGGATGCTCAGCTGGATGCTCGTCTCTGACTCCGCTGCCCTTGCCCCACCCTGCAACGTCTCCTGGACGCGGGTCCCGGAGGTCTTTCGCCTCTCTCCGGCTCCTGGGGCCGTCCCCGAGCCCCCAGGGCCGTCACAGGACGACCCGGGGCGACGCCCCCGGGGGTTCAGGCACCGCCTTTTTCGGGACCGTTTCTTTCACGCCAGTTTGTGCCTCTGCACCCTCGCTGCCAGTCGTCGCCGCCGTCGTCCGTCTGTCTGTCTGTCTGTCTGTCTGTCTGTCTGTCTGTCTGTCTGTCTGTCTGTCTGTCTGTCTGTCTGTCGATCTGCCTGTCTGTCTATCTGCCTGTCTGTCTGTCTGTCGGTCGTTCGGTCTGTCGGTCTGTTGGTCGGTCGGTCGGTCGTCGTCGTCATCGTCGTTATCGTAGTCTCTGTCGTTGCCCCTGTCGCCGACTCAGCCATCGTCGTCGTCTCTATGACTGTCCTGTTTGGATGGTTGTCCATATCGACATCTTGGGCGTCGTCGTCGCCGTCGTTGTGGTCCCCCTCCTCCCTGCCCCCATTACGATACCAGTGTCCGATTCCCTTCTGGACTACTTCCAGGACACATGAGGCAAAGCTGTGTCACGCAGTTTTGCCTCCAGGTGCTGCTCGTCGTCGACACTGCTGGTATTTGGGCTCAGCTGTCCGTGTGCCCAGTAACCCGAGGTTTAGACTCGAGCGCTCAAGACTGTCTGCACGACAGGCGCGCATGCATGGGCTTCGATCCTGAACGAACGTGAGGTCGAGCGTACCTCGCAGTACACATCTCCTCCCTCTCCGCTCTCCATCCCTCTCGCCCTCCCCCACTCCCCCTCCCCCATGCTTTGTCTCCCCATCAACCTCCCCCTCCGCCACCTCCACTCTGCCTCCCTGCCCCTCCTCGTGCTTCTCATTTGTTCCTCCGGGAGGAGCGGGAGGATGAGGAGGAATGAGGTGGAGGATGAGGGTGTTGCAGGAGCAAGGGGAGCAGGAGGGGGATGAGGTAAGCAGAAATGAGGAGGAGGAGGAAAAGAAACAGGGGGAAGAGTCACGGTAAGACCAAGACGCATCAACAATGCTGCGATACAGCCTCCCATCCCAAGTCCCCTCCTCACTATTGTGCTGGCCTCCACTCTAAAGCGAGCTGAGGGACGTAAGGAGCGGAAGCGAGCGTGCGCCCGCGGCCGCGTCGGCTCAAGCGGCCGGCCGCCCAAATATGACTGCGCTTCTTCGCGAGGCACACATTCGCTATCGAGACCAAAAGGATATTCCTATTGCTTAAGATGGCACATCCTCTTCTACTGGGACTATCGCTACTAGTGTACAACACAGCTGGAGCTTGGTTTCGCCAAAGGCGAAACTGTTGGCTGGGCCTCCCAGCCCCCTTCAAACTTGGTAGCGGAGCTGGCCTATGGTGGTCAGCTCTAGCTCTACTCCTCACCATCCACGGCACTATCTGGTGGACTACGTATATGGTGGAACATCAGGGTGCAGTGGGTTTGCGCGGAGGAATGTATACTGCTACGCATTATCGTAAGGACAATTGCAGCAATATCTCTGCTCAAGCGGAGGTCTCTTATTTACATCCTACATCCCTGCGCTTCTACATTCCTGAAGTCCACCCACCTACTCCAATTGGAAGCTTATTCGAAGACATAATGCATGTGAACATGCGATACGACATATTGCCGCTTCCAATCCCACGCAGACTTACGACTACACAACGGAAGTCCCAACCGACTACATCCGACCACCGCCTACGAGGTCATTGGATTGGTGTTGCTATCTTTGGGCTCACATCGGTCGCTGTCGAGTGTGCGGTAGGACATATGCGTGGCGGAGACGACACAAGAACGACCAGCCCCCACTGGGACCCAGCCAGTCCAGTACGTTTTCGCGAATTCGTCCGCGAAGTACCTGCCTGGATCAACGTGACCATAGGCAATATGTCGCCCTCCCAGCAGGCTGCAGCTTTGCAGCGAGGTTTGGGAGGTCTCGCACGGACCATAGCCATGAGAGTCCCTCCAGCAGTTATCAGCTTTGGCGTCAACATAGGTGGCCGCCATACTGACGGCGTCACCTACATCATGTTCCTCTTTCGAGAATTTAGAAGAGGAGCGCCAACTGAACTCTGGCACCGCTCTCATTGACTTCCGAGTCCATGCGGGAAACGCATCGACCAGACGTTAGCACGTTTTGATTTAGCCCGCTATGAAGCTGAAACAGCCAGCTTCAATATCCCCAACTCCCAAATCTTAACAGTGATTTTGTTCGGAGCTCTTGGGGTGGGGACATCGCGTGCACAACAACTCCTGCAGCCTCTAAACCACCACATGCCGAGAGACCAACAACAAGTGGACGCTCTACTCGACCGTATGAGGTCAGATGCTCACATTGCTGAGAGAACCCCTGGCAATATTGGTGGTATCTTCAGTCACGGTCACCGAACCGAGACCTTTCACGTGGAGGCCAACGCAGGGCAATCTGCTAACAACGTCTGGAATGATGATCCACAACCAACTGAGCCCTTACACTGCTGGCTCAGAATGTTGGAACTGCCTCTGGGTCGCAAGACTCCTGGGCCAGGCTTCGGGGACCGCCTGACGCGGTATCCCCCACACAAGCTATGACCCTAATGGGCTCAGCAGGGCAATCCGCCGAGTCCGACTTCGACTCCGGTACTGATGCCGATGCGTCTTCAGACGATGAAGCCACAGCCCTTGACTATTCGGATATGCCTACATACCTTACGGAAGAGCAACAAGCGCAATGGTTATTTTTAGGATACCAAAAACACCAGCGTCGATGGCGGAGGTTCATGAAGAAACCAGACCGAAAGGTACGGCGTATCGTACGACGAGCACTCAAAGGAAAAGGCAAAGGTCGAAGCAAAGGTAAAGGTAAGGTTCGGCGATTGCATGGTAGAGGCATA